AGAGACCACACACACACACACACACACACACACAGAGAGAGAGAGAGAGAGAGAGAGAGAGAGAGAGAGAGAGAGAGAGAGAGAGAGAGAGAGAGAGAGACGAGCATAGCACTCGCTTCATGGGACTTCTGTTTGTCGTGTGTTTTGAAGCGGTGAACTGTTTCTGGGCTTCGTACTAGAGGAATTAAACCTCCGCCACTCGCTTGCATCTCTCGGTATTTCGTTGTTCGCTCTCTCCCCCATCTCTCTCCCCCATTTTCTCCCCATCTCTCTCCCCCATCTCTCTCTCACAGCTTCCCTCCCTCCCTCACTCTCCCTTATCTCTCTTTCACACCGTCCGTCTCTTGCCTCTTCCTCGGCAGCATGTTGCCGGAGGCATTCCCCATCGGCCCTCCGAGTTATGCCCCCTTTGAGCATCGCCGAAGGCATGATTCAGAGGGCGGATGTGGAATGTCTTTTCGGAAATGTGCTACTGATCGGGAATGCCTCCGCACATGAAATGCTGACGTGGTATGCTGAGCTGTCTTGCTTGCACTGAGAGCGCAGCCGCTGTTGAATGGGATGATGAAATCCTGGGTTGCTGACCTGTAATGCTTGCTGGCATGGCATGCTGACGTGGCATGCTGACATGGCTTGGTTGCAGAGAGTGAGATGGGATAAAATCCTGGGATGCTGACCTGTAGTGCTTGCCGTCATGGCATGCTGACGTGGCTTCATTGTATTGAGAGTGCAGCACCTGTTGAATTGGATACAATCATGGAATGCTGACATGGAATGGTGACATGTAGTGCTTGCTGGCATGGAATGCTGACATGTGGTGCTTGTTGGCATGGAATGCCGACTTTGCATGCTGATCTGGTGTGATGTGGCATGCTGATCTGGTGTGACGTGGCATGCTGACGTGGCTTGGTTGCAGTGAGAGTGCAGCACCTGTTGAATGGAATGAAGTTATAGAATGCTGACCTGTAATGCTTGCTGGCATGGAATGGTGATGTGGCATGGTGACGCGGCATGCTGACGTGGCTTGGTTGCATTGACAGTGTAGCACTCGCTGGCATGGAATGATGATTGGCGTGCTGACGTGACACGCTGACATGGCATCTCGACGTGGGTTGCTGACGTGGGTTCCTGACTTGGGTTGCTGACGTGGGTTGCTGACTTGGGTTGCTGACGTGGCTTGGTTGCAGTGAGACCGCAGCACCTGTGGAATGGGATAAAATCAAGGCCCCAACAAGTGAAGTCGTGGTTCCGTATGACTTTCTCGAGGAGGTTTCTGATGGTAAGCAATTTTGAATTAAAATTTAATAAAGACTATTTGAATTAAAGTTTAATAATCCAAATTATGGTTAATGTCATTATTAATTATTGTAGGAGCATTGTGTTTTCCGGATTTTAGTGCTGTTCCGTTTGAGCGCTGTTCCGTTATCAGTACTTTCCGTTACAGCAGTGTTCCGTTTCAGTAGTGTCCCGTTTCACTGCTGTTCCTCTTCAGTATTGTGTTTGCTGTCCCGTTTGTGTTTTTTTTTTTCCTTTTTTCCTTTTTCCCCAGTGGTGTTCTGTTTGAGCGGTCCCGTTTCACAGCGCTGTTAAAACTTAGTATACTATTGGCGTTAATAGCATCGGTAGATTCCGTATTGTTCACACAAAAAAAAAAAGTTCGTTTTGCAGCTTATCCAAGCAGTTCAGCAGTTCGAGCAATTGAAGATTCTGTCTGGTAAAAAAAAAAATAAAAAAAAATCTGTTTGTTTTCCAGCTCATTGAAGCAGTTCAGTAGTCCGAGCGATTGAATTGCAAAAAATCTGTACATTATTGAACGGAAAAAAAAAGAACAGAACTTGTATTGCAGCATTGCAGCTCATTGAAGCAGTTCAGTGGTTCGCGCTTTTTTTGAATTGGAAAAAAAATATGTTTTTGAATTGGAAAAACAAATGTTAGAGTCAAGACAATTACAGTGTGATCATATTTTAAAAATGTGATTTGCATAATTGCCCTTCGATGCAGTTTGGGCTTGGAAGAAGTGCCGCGGAAAGAAGACGATGTTGAGCGTGACTCTAGTTCGAATTTAGTAGGACTCTAGTTGGACTCTGTGAAATGACGTGAGAGGTGTAGAAAAAGTGGTGGAGCTTTATGGCGCAAGTGAAATACCACAACTCTTAACGTTATGTAAAAAAAAAAGAGGTTGAACTTCTAGGGTTATTTTTCAAAAGAGCACTACTTGTAAGCTTTAACCTAGGCTACCAGCCGGGCCGCCCGGGTTACTCTTTCCCCGGACGCCCCGGCCGTGCGAGGACCAGGGGAGGTCCAGCCCAAAAAAAAAAAAAAAAAATCCGCTTCGGAAGTTTTTGGACATCTCAGGAAAAGGGAGAAAAAGGGAGAAAAAAGGGAGAAGAAAGGGGGAAAAAGATGCATCTTACTACTAACTAGTACTAAGTTATTAACCATCTATCTTATCCGCTTTCACCAGTTTATCCACTTTGGTCAGTTTAGTAAAAACTAGATGGTGTTAAATGTGTCTTATCCACTGTTTTTTTGAATCTTACCCTTTAAGATCCACTTTTATCTTGTCCACTTTCACCAGTTGTGGGATGTATCTTATCAACCAGTGATCCTATCCATTTTGTCTAATCCACTTTTGTGGTAACTATTATCCTGTCCACGTTATCCACTTTTATATCTTATCCACTTTGTCTTACCCCCGCTTTTGTCTTATTCACTTTTATCTTATCCACTTCCAATACTTCAGTGAACTAAGTGGTGTGTATGTGAACTAGGTGGTGTGGTGATGGGTTGTATCTTATCAACCAGTGATCCTATCCATTTTGTCTAATCCACTTTTGTCGTAACTATTATCCTGTCCACGTTATCCACTTTTATATCTTATCCACTTTTATATCTTATCCACTTTTATATATTATCCACTTTGTCTTACCCCCGCTTTTGTCTTATTCACTTTTATCTTATCCACTTCCAACACTTCAGTGAACTAAGTAATGTGTATCTTGTCCACGATCCATCTTATCCATCATATCCATCTTATCCATCTTATCCGTCATCTTATCCATCATCTTACCCATCATCTTATCCATCATCTTATCCATCTTATCCATCTTATCCTCTTTCACCAGTTAAGTGAACTAGGTGGTGGTGGAGGCGGTGGATGGTGGGTGGTGGTATCTTATGGATCGATTAATCGGTTTCACCCTAAGTGAACTAGGTGGTGGTGGATGTGTCTTATGGACTTTTCAGCGGTCGAGTGCAATTGGCTAGTCTTTTGTGGCTTGAACCGTTTCGAGTGCAATTGGCTAGTCTTTTGTGGCTTGAACCGTGTTTGTTTGTTTTTTTTGGCCCGGGGTCACTTGCCCGGCCGGGCCAAAGAGATTAAAAAAAAAAACTTTAAAATTTTATTTTATATTTTAAATTTGGTAAAGAATTTCGATGTGACCTAGGCAAAAGTTGTTCAGTTTATTTTTCTACATAACATAGTTTTTTTTCGGATTTTTTGGATTTTTGTTTTTTTTTGCTGGGACCTTCCCTTGTCCTTGCACGGGCTGGCCACCCTGGACCCGGACGGCCCGGCTGGTAGCCTAGTTCAGGACTTCAATTATCACTTTTTTTTTTTCTTTTTTTAATGTTTTGTTTGGACCATTTCTCGATTTACGTGTCATCCAATTGCGCAGGGGCCATGCTAATCTTATCTTCTCTTTTTCTGTATCGTTCCAATTTTAATCGATGTCCCAGAATACTTCTCCCCCCCGCATATTTTTTATCATATAGTAATCGAAAAGTGGGACTGGAATCTTCTTTTTCTGTATCCTTCCAATTTTAATGGATGTCCCGAAATACTTCCCCCCCCTCCTCCCCCCCATTTTTTTTTTTAATCATATAGTAATCGAAAAATGGTACTGGATGGGTCGGGACGAGTGTGTGATTGCAGAGGAGGCGAAGTCGCTTCTCTCCAAACTGGCTGTGTTGAAGCTGAATGGAGGTCTCGGTACAACGATGGGATGCACTGGCCCCAAGTGAGAATCCCCTCCTTCCTCGTTTTTCTGCTCTTCCTCTCCCTCTCTCTTGTTTTTTTTATCATGATCTATTATATTCGTTCTCGGATTATGAGGCTTAACGCCCTAATCCTCCTTTCTGTTTTTCAGACTTTTCTGTGGCTCGCCTTTCTTTTGTTCTCTTCTTCAAATTGATTCTATGAAACACATTTATTGCTATACTGACGCGAAAAAAAAAAGGATAAAACAAGAGAACAAAAGAAAAAGTTTCTTTTTTTTTTTTGGGACTTCTGAAGGTGGAGGAACTGCTATACGGACGGAAAAAAATTAAAAAGTGAAATAAAGTGTGTGGCTTACAGACATAGCTCAGCACCATCTGGCTATTGGTGATTTTGGGATTGGCTCCCTTGATGGGATGACAGTTGTCCCTTCTGTGTGGCAGCATATTTTATCCATCGTCTGCTCTGATTGCCACTCTGCTTGTGAATGCTGCATTCTGGCACCCCATGTGTTTTTTCTCATTCAATGGGCTATCGTTCTCATACTCGCGTGGCCTCGTGTTCATCCTCCCTCGTGTTCTGCAGTTGTTAGTCCTCCTCCTCCTCCTCCTCCTCCTCCTCCTCCTCCTCCTCCTCGTCGCCGACCATCTTGTTCTGCAATTGCAATTGTTTCTCTCCTATGTCCTCCCTCCACCATCTTGTTCTGCAGTTTAGGGTTTGTTGGAACTAGTGGGATGCTATAGCACTTGGCCGCTCACAATTGCTGATAACTTGATACGGACTTGGACTTCGAAAGAGTGGGCTGAATTGCTCGGTGCGTGGGAATTTGAGATGCAGCTGTCAGTCAATCCGTGCGACGAATTTGATTTAATCATTTTGAATTTTTTTAACTTGTTCCATGGTCTCATATATGGAGCTGGGTGTAGTGCATTTGGAGTTAATCTTTTGACTTTTTTTTTTTTTAACCTTTGTCAGGTTTAATATATGTTATTGCTGTGGCTGATCGACTGACCAAGGTGGGAATTGAAAAGGAAAAGGGAAGGAAAAAAAAAAAGAATTTCACTCGTGAGCATCTGCTGAGCTGCACTTCGTTTTTGTAACAGGTCTGTCATTGTCGTCCGCAATGACTTGACGTTCCTGGACTTGATTGTCAAGCAAATTGAGGTAAGCCGAGTTATTATTACTTTTTTTTCTTTTTCCCTTTTTTCAGTAATTAAACAAAAGAAGAGAGGGAGGGGGGGGGCATGGTTTTCAATTGGCTACAGGATTTGTTGTTATTGCTACCTGATTTACGCTGCCAGTGGGTTCTATGTGGGTGGGGGAAGAGAGTAGGAATATGTATTGCCAGTTAATGTAGGTACAATCACTGTGCTCTGTTTTTCATTTTTCAAAACTCTCGTGCTCGTCTTTTGCTCGTCTTTCAATTTCTCAAGCCTTTCCTGATTTGGTGATTTTCTCTGTACTTGCCTGTCCCTGCCTTTTTTGCCAGGTAGTGAAAGAAAAAGCAATTAAAAAAAAAAAAAAACATAATCAGAACGAGACATCTCTTTGGGTCAAAAGCTTGCCCTGCCTGCCTCCATTTTTTTTGCAATCTCGAACTCGTTGATTTTTTGTCTCTGCCAGGCCTTTGGACTGCAGAGGCAGTCCTCTTCCACCTTCCACCCTCCAACCTCCCCCCCCCTTCCTCCTCCTCCTCCTCCTCCCCCTCCCTCTCTTGAAGTTCGTGGAGGGCTCTGCCAAAGGCCTGGCAGAAAAACACACCCACACCCTGCCCAGGCCTTTGGCAGAGGCAGTCCTCCTCCACCCTCACCCTCCCCCTCCCCCTCCTCCTCCCTCTCTTAAAGATTGTAATTTTGTCATTGAGACTATTACGTTGATCATACGAGGATGCTGTCTGCTGGCAGGTTGAGGGTATGGAAGAGTGATTTTGAAGAGCTGTCATTTTTCTGAACCTTCGATGTTCGCACTCAAGAAAAAGTGTGCTTCACAGTGCAATGCAGGATGCTGGAAAAAAGGGGCAGAAAGTGTGAAAGAAATTTTAAAAAATTGGGAAGGAAAATGGAGGCCACTTGGCCCGCCCGGCATGGCCGTGTACCCTGGGCAAGTTGCCCGGGGTTCACCTGCATGGGGCACCCCGTGCAGACAAAATGTCAGCCCCTTTTTTTTTTTTTTTTTTTTTTTTTTTTGGATTGGGTTTGCTGCACAGAGGATCTTAAGTTCGGCCTCCTTTCTATTTTTGAATGTTCGCTGTCAAGGGGAGAGGCGAGGGGGGAGGTATCAACTGGTTTTCAAGGGGCCCAAGCGGTCTAAAGGGGGGTGCCTCAGTCTGATTCTGTGGTTTTCTTTTATCTTTTTTTTTTTGTCCTTTTGCACTGGGGATGGCCGTAACACTGTGTGCGACAGTGTTCCGGGGTTGTTGATGCCAAGCCGGGCACTGTGTGCGACTGAGCACAAGAAAAAAAGGATGCTGACTTTCTGGTTCTGGTGGTATGATATTCTTTGTGTTTCAGGTGCTCAACTCCAAGTACGGTGCTGATGTGCCCCTGATCCTTATGAATTCTTTCAATACGCACGATGACACTGCAGAGGTTTGTCTATACCTCTTGTTTCTTCCACTCTGTGTCACAGTCTGCACTCCGTCCTCCCCCAGCCTGCCCCTCCCTCTGCCTCCGTCGCTCCTCTCCATGTCACTGTCCGCGCTCCTTGCCCCCCTCCCCCCATCTGCGATGTCTCCCTCTTGCAGATCCCCCTCTGCCCTCCGGATCCCCACCTCCACCTCCGTCCGCCTTTGTTTGTTGTCCCCCCCC